CAACTACTGAAGCACACCCACCGGGCAAAAGTGTGTGCTTTGCATGATCTCACTCATATGTAGAATCTAATGAACAAAATAGATCCAGAGACATAGATGATTGGAACAGACTGCAGAATCTCAGAGGGAAGGTGGATCAGGGTGGGTGAGAAGAGATCAAGCAAAGAACTTGTATGCATATTTGCATAACCCATGGATACAGACAATAGGAAGGTGAAGGCCTGGGGCAGGGGTGGGGGCAGGCTAAAAGGAGTCAATGGGGGAAAATGGGGAACATATGTAATACCTTCAATAAATAATTTTTTAAAAAGTGTGTGCTTTGCCCAGCCAGCATGGCTCAGTGGTTGAGCATCGACCTGACTCAGGAGGTCAAGATTTGATTCCCAGTCGCGAACATGCCTGGGTTTTGGGCTCGATCCCCAGTGCAGGACGTGCAGGAGGCAGCCGAGGGATAATTCTTTCTCATCATTGATGTTTCTCTGTCCCTCTCCCTTCCTCTCTAAAAATCAATTTAAAAAATTAAAAAAAATTCCTACCTATAGATAAAGTACTGTCTGGGAAAATATGTAAGGGATACAATTTATACTGATTTTTGTGGTTTATATTTATTTTCTAAAAAAGGAAAACAACTTTAATTTCACTGGCAATCTCTCATACTTGAAATAAGAAGGTGCTCATTTTTAATACAAAAAATAATCCCTACTTAATCTTGAATATTTCTGAATGGCCTCTTCCTCTATGACTGTTTGTATAAACAGATGCATGATTTTTCTACCTAAATTAGTGGGAGGGACATATCCAAATGCACTTTTTTCTAAAGGTGGACTATAATCAGTCAATATGAAAAGAAAAACTCAATAAGCATGTGCAGAGGGCATATTTTGAATTCTTTCTTGTACTACATATACTACAGCTGAAATTATGAAACAAGTACTAGATTTAACTTCATGTTAAGATGTGTAAAAGCATACTAATCCTCTAATTTGATGAAAACCTACTGTAAATGTATTTGGATTATGTTTCATCTGACAGTATGGCTCGGGATTTTTCCTGTGAGCTTTGGAGTCAGACAGACCTGGGTTTGGACCTAGGCTTCACCATTTACTAGCTCTTGTTACCTTGGTAAATTTTTTAATCTCTTTGATTTCCCAATTTTCTCTGTCAAGTGTAGATAGTAACAGACCTAGTTTATAGGATTGTTTTATGAATTAAGATATCACAGATAAAAGCCTACCTAACATAGTAGGTGCTCAGTAAATCATAGTGACTCTGACAGTTATTGCTGATTGACAAGTGTGGAAAAGAGGTCCAACTCAAAATTTGTTGGGGCTATAAATCAAGAGATAACACAGCTTGGTTGGTCTGATCAGCCAGCATAATCTATAGGACTCGATTTTCAAAAATCTGCCAAGTTAAATTTAGTAAGCGAAGAACTAGTTTAAGCCTGATGACTGCAGTGACTCCGACAGCATTTTAATAAGATGACATACTCATTTTAACACAGCCTTTATTTTCTGTTTGAAAACAAAATTTCCAGGAAACAAAATACAATGGTTGGGCACAAATGAAATAAAAGTCACAGTTTCAAATAACCAAAATAAGACAGCTGCTTAAAGGCAGATCACTTGGTTTACACCCAAAAAAGAAAAGAAAAGTTAAGGTCAAGGATTAAAATGAAGTTTAACAACATTCTATATAATGCTACATTCCCCAATTAAGAAAAGAGAGTTCAGCCCTGGCCGGTGTGGCTCAGTTAGTTGGAGCATTGTCCTGTACACTAACAGGTGGTAAGTTGGATTCCGGGTCAGGGCACATATCCAGGTTGCGGGTTCAATCCCCGGTCGGGGAGTGTACTGGAGGCAACCGATAAATGTTCCTCTCTCTCTCTTTTCCCCTTCCCCTCTCTTAAAAAAAAATCAATGAAAAAAAGAGTTCACATATACAACTAAATGTTAAATGTAGAGATGTGACTGAAATTCTGTATACTTCATAGTAAATTATGCATGAAAGTTCACTAATTGCATAAACTTCCTGAGTGGCTCCCATGCTGAACTAGGTCTACATGCTTAATATTCATATCAAACGAAGCTTTATGTGATTGAGCATGGCAGACCTTGAACAACTGCACTTTCCGATCAGTCACTACTTCTGCTGAGGGTATGTTCTGGACCACAAATCTCAATCTGAAATCTTAAAATATAGTAAAAAAGAAATGCAACTAAAAAAAAAAAAAACACTGGAAGGATGACAAGCACACAATTAGGAATTTATTTTACACTGGCACTTTCTTCTCTCAAGAGCCCAGTTTCTCTCTTCCCTTCTTGCTTGACTTTCAGCCTTTTTAACTTTTTGAAAATGAAAAGAAAACCTTCCAGAATGGGAGCTGGTGGTGTGTACACTCTGTTAGCTATCTCAGTTAAAAATAACTTCAGTGTAACCCAGTCACTATTCCAGGCCCCTGCCTATGTCGGCTGTCAAGACCTGACCAATGTTTGTGTTCATCCTTCACGTGTAAAACTATCTCCGGGGTGACCTGAAAGCATTTGGCTCCATTAAAGTTTCATGCCAATTTCACTTCAAAGGATTTTAGCAAGTTTGACTGTCACCATTTTATAGTCTGTTTTTTTTTTTAAAGAAAACAATGTCAATTCCAGAAATTACATTTACCAAATCAACTAATTGTCTCTTCTATGTCCCCCGCCCCTTCTGGTTCATCGGGTGGGGAAACAATTTATCAATAAACAACGATATGTGAACAATCTATTACAGAAAATGGCCCACATGTCACCACAAATTTTTCTGAACCAAAAAGATGAAAAACTGAATCCCAAACCAATGGCACATATACCTCAGGAATGTACTTGTGCATGAAGCCTGAAATACAGTATTTGCTACCATGAAATATGCTGTAGTGTTGCACACAGTAAACATGTGGAACAAGGACCATGTGGTTTACAAACATTTGCTGAGTTTTTTTGGGAAACAGGAATGCATCATTTTCAACACTTGGAAAAGACAGCAAAGAAAGTCAATGCCTCCAATAAACTTTAGAGATTGGAACAAGTTATCACCAACTACAATTCAAGTGAAAGCATACAGCTATTTCCAGGTAACAAAACATCACTGCAAATATCTCACAGATGCTAATATGCTGAATGACAGGCCACCGATGTAGGATTTGTCAAGCTATTTCACTGTGGTAGTTAGTTAAAACAGTTTCACCCATAGCCCTTTAGGCACACAGATAAGAAACGCATCTCTAATAAAAGACGCAAAGTTACAGGCACTGAACTGTCTAATTTGGGTACTTTCTTATCATTTGCTCATTTTACAACTAATTCCTATACTGCCACAAGCTGGATTTATCTGCTCTCCACCCCCAAATCCCCAAAGCTTACTTCAGAGATGCATGTGGCTCTCATCACTTAAACACAGATCGGTGGCAGAGTGATAGTCCCTCTCATCACTAACTCAGAGTTAACGCTGGGACAAACAGGCAGGCTACATTAATAACCTGAAAGAATACTGAGAATCAAGGCAAAAAAAAAAAAAGCAAGTTTCACAGGCAGTGTTTACTTTTGCACCCCCAAACAGCACTGAAAACGAGGTAGATTAACAAAAGCAACTGGACTGGAATTAAACCTGGGGTTCTAAAATGATACATCCCATCATACTCTACACTCAAAACATTCTACACTCAATCTAAAAATCGCAGCGGAAAAGTGCCTTTTAAACTTCCACAGATAATTTTGCTGTCAAACCATTAGAATTCATGCTCGATAGAAAACTGGTAAGAAGAGGATGAGAAACAGAATGGATATTGGTTATATTACAGCAAATTACCTTAAACAGAGAGTCAAGACTGCTACAAATATACATAGGGTAATTTTCATTAGATTTACACCAATACTGGTTTCATATTCTTAAGATGTTACACCCAACTTCACAAACATAGCAGCAGGTAATTCATGAAGAGATGCTCACATTAGCACATATGGAGGCACAGTACTATTCGTCAGACTTGCATTTTGAGAAGTAAACATGGTGGCTGGACATTCAGACTATCCCCAAAATAAACGGTACAAGCAGGTGACATAATACAACCCTTTTCTCTCCCACAAGAAGGAAAATGAAAAGGACAGTTTGTTTTTGGGAAGTGGGTAGAAGGCCCTTGTTATACAGTAGGCTCTTGGTTAAGTAAGAAGGGAATTTCTGAGCTTTATCTCAAGAATTAATTATTTCTGGGTTGGAAAAGTACCTCAGCAAGGATGCAAACAGCACTATTATATGATTTAGCAAAAAGTTAGGAAATAATGCAAAATCCCTATATAGAAAACTAGCCAATATTTACAATCAAAGTGACTATAAGCTGAATCAAACATTTAAGTAATGGAAAAAATAAATAAAAACCCCACAGTGACGTGAATAACACTGTTTTCTTCATTTCCACACAAAGTCACTTTTTTGCATTTTTAAACTTACACACACGTTACATATACACAATGTATACATAACATATATGTTAACCCAACCACTGCAGTCAGCATGGACTCGGCAGTACACTATTCACCATCTTCAAACTTTAGAAGACTACTTTTCTTTCCAGCAAAAAATCTGAAAAGATTCTAAATACTACAAGGCACTGCAAAAGTCTGCAGGCAAACAAATGATGAATCAGACATAAAACAGAGGTGGTGGCAAAACGTGGGGCATGTGATATAGAGCAGCCATTAATAAATGTGTGCATATTATCCATGGAGCTTTTTTCATTTTGGGGTAGGTACACTGTTTAAAAGAATTTTGACTAGAGCCCTGGTTAGTGTGGCTCAGTTGGTTGGAGAGCTGTCCTGGACCCTGAAAGGTGGCAGGTTCGAGTCCCGGTCAGAGCACATACCCGGGTTCCATCTGCAGTCAGGGCGCATACAGGAGGCAGCCCATAGATGTCTGTCACTCTCCATCTCTCTTTCTCCCTTCCTCCCTTCAAAAATCAATTAAAAAAAAAAAGGATTTTGACTAGAGAAGAAGGGATCTTAAAACCTGCAGTATTTTCACTTTCTGGATCAGCGGTCACTACCCAGTGGTCCGCGAGGTCTGAAAGGTTGGCGACCGCTGTTCTAAGTTATAAGCCTCAATGCAATCACACAAATCCAAATCACCTAATGAAACACGAGCAGTTTGAAAGAATTACAAATTTTAGGCACATTGTTTTTGTATACATGGTAAACACTGCAATGCAAGCATTTGCATTACACTACTGTCCTAAAATCACTTCAACTCGCAAAGCAATACTGTGTAAGGAATTTGAAGAATTTGTACATAAGATTTAGGAAGACTCATCCAAACTAGCATGTCATATGAAAAGAAACTTTGGCTCTTACCAACAGCAATTCTCAAAATGCTACCCTATATGCCCCAAATGATAGTGACAGAATCTTCACAATGGCGAGGGCAATCCTCAGGTAAGCAGTATAAGACATATATCTATTTAGAAAGGGCACTGAATGTCACAAAGTAAACGGTGCAAAAAAAAAAAAAAAAAGTACACCCATTAATTTTGCTTCATTACCTGGAAGGCTCATGGGCTAAAATTTGTAGTGGAATATGGAAGAAAATCTGTTAACAGAAATACTGGGTGATAATTTAGAATGTTTACCAGTAGACAGAACTTGTTCTTAAGGTAAATGTGCACTAGACACCACCTTGAAATTGTCAAGAGTGAAAAGTATTTTAAACATGTGTATGTGGCGGTGGGTAAATACCATTTACGAATTTTGACTTGGGTTTCACAGACTGAGTATTAGATAACTCTGTAACCAGCCTTTTAAGATGATTATAGTTAACCTTCTTGAAAACCAAAAGTGTGTATTTTGACATTGCCTCCCCTCCTCCTTAAACTGGATAAAACCCAGTAAAGTGCAACTTGACAGTGACCTCTCACAGATTCTAAAGAGGATGCAAAAATAATCTAAGATCTAAAAACAAGAGGCTATAGATACTAACTAGAAATTATAACAACTAAAAGAAAGGCAATAAAAAAAATCTAAGGGCAATTAAATAGTATACTTCGAGGATCTACTATTTCACTGCAGGACAGTGTATACCCCACATCTCTTAGAACCCTGTAAAGCCAGTGTTTCATGTGTAAGTCTTGAAACCTACAAAACCTACTGTGTCAAGTAAATTTCACGTTGGAAGAATGGGTCAATAGAGGTGTGACTAGAATCCACTTTGTTAGGAATACAAAGATTCCCCCCAAATGAGATTCATATCAGCTGCAATATATCCCTTGCAAAAGAATGCAAGCCAAACCAATGCCTCTCAGATGCTCAAAAACAACGCAGTGTGCACATGAGAAACAAGGAGACAGCTGCTTTGAATTACTATGGAAATCCTAAAACAGCTACATTATCTGCAGAATCAAGGAACTGTTACAGTTCTGTTTTTATCCTTTCTTTCCGCCTCACCTAGAACAAGGCTTCACTCCTACAGCTGTGAAGACGGGAAGAAAATCACATTAAAAAGGGCTCATGTTCTATATTAGTTGACAAAAGTTATTCTAATTTTACACACCAAAACATTTCCTGCAGCATTACCCTGCCTTCTGGGAGAGGTAAACCTAAGACAAACATGTGAAGAATCCCACAAGACTCCGGTTGTCGGAGGATCTCACTTTGTCCACATTGGGGGAATATCAATTTAAACAGTATTTATACATTTTAAAGAAAAGTATCATCCAGCTGCAGTTGGCAGCAGTAAAAAAATGGAGGCTTTTCAGCAATTCATGGTAAGTGTCCTGGAAATGGAAATGCTCAAGCCGAGCTCATTTAAAGCATTCTGAACAGTATTTTTAAAAAATCAAGTATCAAAGAGGATAGGATTTGAAGTGAAAAACATTTCTGTGCGCAGTGTTCTATGTACAAACTGCACAGTTCTACAGAATGACGAGCTATATCAAAGACTACATCGGAACTCAAAAAAATACAGTGGAAAGTAAACTCAAAAGAGGAAAAGATGGCAGAACCCAAGAAGAAAGTTTAATATCTTAGGTGTCCCGGAAATAACTCTGAAGAAAAGCTCCCTTTTCTTCATTCATCATTTACTCTGATTCATTTGGGACCCGGAGGGTTCGTGGATGGATTCTGCACTGAGGACGATGAAAACGCAGGCAGATTCATTCCTGGCTGGAACAGTGGCCCAGGTTGGGTAGGTATGACCACAGGCTGTTGAGCTGGTCCGGGAATTCCTACCCACTGTACTGGATAACCGGGCCCCCCCACAGCATTATACTGACAGACATGGGACACTCCATATGATGGTAATGGCCCCGGAAAAGAAGGGAGTGGGAGTCCTTGTGGTGAGGGGGTGGGAACAGCTCCACGGATTTGGGGCAGAGAAGAAATCCATGTTGGTGTGTAGCCCAGAGCAGATGGAGTATTCTAATGAAAACAAAAATAAAAACAAAACATCAGTTTATTTGGCAGAAGCTTTTACCCATCTATGTTCCTTCCTATTCTTTTTGGCTTACTGCTCCCATGATTACTATGAGTGGCTACCATTTTTGCAGCACCTTCTGTGTGCTAAGCATAGTTACATACCTTGTCTATTTCATCTTCTTGTCTATTTCATCTTCATAAGTGCCCTGCAAGGTAGGCATTTTCAGATGTGGAAAAAGAAGCTCAAAATTGATAACAGCTGACACACTAAGCAAATTCATAGTGAGCTGAGGATTTGAACAATGTTCCAGCTAATTCTAAGGGCCCTGCTAAATCTCTGTTCAGTTTAGTGTCTCCTGCCCTCATGCTAGCATTACTCTTGTATTTTTATTTCCTTCTGCCAGTCTTGGACATTCCCTTATTCAGCACCACACACAATAGCCCATCTTACTATATTACATAATTCTTTGAAGACAGGAGAGCATGATTTAGTATGGCATGGGGGAAAGAGCCTAGGATACAGTAGGTGCTCAATAAATGTCACCTCCCTACCCCCTTCTACTGTCTTTTTTAAAAAAATATATTTTATTGATTTTTTTACAGAGAGGAAGGGAGAGAGATAGAGAGTTAGAAACATCAATGAGAGAGAAACATCGATCAGCTGCCTCCTGCACATCTCCCACTGGGGATGTGCCTGCAACCCAGGTACATGCCCTTGACCGGAATCGAACCTGGGACCTTTCAGTCCGCAGGTGGACGCTCTATCCACTGAGCCAAACCGGTTTCGGCTCTACTCACTGTCTTTAAATAAAGTCTGACATTTCTGTTACATTTTTGGAAATTTAAACTCAAGACAATTATGCTTTTGGCAATATTGAGGAAATATATTCCTGTCTGACTCTTCTTATCATATTGTATTATGATTAAACATATGTATAAAGATTACTGAAGCCGAAACCGGTTTGGCTCAGTGGATAGAGCGACGGCCTGTGGACTGAAGGGGACCGGGTTCGATTCCGGTCAAGGGCATGTACCTGGGTTGCAGGCACATCCCCAGTGGGAGATGTGCAGGAGGCAGCTGATCGATGTTTCTCTCTCATTGATGTTTCTAACTCTCTATCTCTCTCCCTTCCTCTCTGTAAAAAATCAATAAAATATATTTTAAAAAAATAAAAAAAAAGATTACTGAAATCTTATGCACATGGGACTAATAAGTCTAATGGAAGTAAATAATTCTCACTCAAAGGCGGGATTGGTATCAGTTCCAAATGCTTAGTTCTTATAAAGTGAATGGTCAAGCTAAAACCATTTCAACTAAACTGAAAGTTTCAAGCTAAAGTTAGGGTAAAGGTTTTGAGCTTGACTCAAGAATGACAATATCTCTTTGAGGGGAAAAAACCCCCAGACATTTGCTTGTTTCAGCAACCCCTTTTCATATCAGTGTTTTTGTTCTGTTAAAGTAAAACTGAATGTAACACTTCTGATTCAAATGAGCACATACAGTATGATTGCATTTTTTATACATATACTTGAGGCCCAGTGCACAAAATCTGTGCACTCGTAGGGTCTCTAGCGGCTGCAGGGTGGGGCCTCCTTTCCTTCCCCTGGCTGGCCCTGCCCCTGATCAAATTCCTGGACAACTCTAGGTTGAGGGGACAATTTGCATACTATGCTTTTATTACATAGGATTTCCATGTATCCATATACAGACATAGAAAGATACCTAAAATGGTGTTTATCTAAAGCTAGTGACAATTATATTTGGGTGGTGGGATTTGAAGGCAGTATTTTAAATTTTGTACTTTTCCGCATTGTTTAAATTCTATAACAAGCATTTTATGAACAATAATGTGACCTTTATTTTTAAAAGACTGAATTGGATATTTCAAAAGCATCTCAGGCCCTGGCCGGTGTTGCTCAAACCGTGTGTTGACGTGCGCACCAAAGGGTCGCAGGTTGTGTTCCTGATCAAGGGCACGTAACTGGGTTGTAGGTTCAATCCTTGGCCCCAGTTGGGGCACATGCAGAGGCAATTGATGGATATGTCTCTCTCACATCAATGTTTCTCTCTCTTCCCCATCCCTTCCACTCTCTAAATATCAAACACACCCAGGCATGTGCCCTGACTAGGACCCCTAGGTGTACAGGATGACACTCAACCAACTGAGCCACACCAGCCAGGGTTTTAATTCTTATAAATAAAGAGAATTGGGTATAAACAACTTACTTCATGTACTTTGTTCCAGTTGTCAGTCTCTAATTTGTGTTGACTCTGTTTAAGTTGGTTTAAACTTGGCTTAATAAGAGAATTTCCAACTGTTTCCTTTGTCCAGTCATCTACCAATTTGTGTAAGTCATCTGTGAACATCCCTTTTTTACTACCTGCAGATTGCTGGCTTGATGCTGTATTACTCTCTGCACACGGTGGATCTATAAGGAAAACCAGGGAAACCATGAAAAGGAATTAAAAATGATAAATACTCTTATTTGAACACCAATGCAATTGACAGAGTAGGCAGACATTTCAGTTTAGCTGGGGCAGTTCTGGTTTAAAGCTGTTGTCCTGAAGTAATTACTAACAATACTCCTTTCATTCTCAAACATTTCCTCTTGTCTGGATTGCAAATTATATGTTCACCTTAGGTATAAATCAAGTACAATAAATAGTAATGTTGCTTAAAAAATTAGCATCAACCCTAATCTTTTCATCAGTTTCCTCAGTTTTAACTTAGAAGAGTTAAAAAAACAATCACAGAATGTCAAAAGTAGAAAGAATCTTAGAAGTCTAATCTAAACCAGTAGTTTTAAAATGGGGAGAAGAGGCCCAGAAAAATTAATTGACATGCCTGGGTTAACACAATTAGTTACCATAGAGCCAGGCCTGGAAATATGAAGCTGAGACAGGAATTCTCTTTTCAGTATACCAGCTAGGGCGAAAATCTCCCTATTTTAAAGTTCGTTGAGCCCTGGCTTGTTTGGCTCAGTAGAGCATTGGCCTGCAAACTGAAGGGTCCTAGGTTTGATTCTGGTCAAGGGCATGTACTTCAGTTGCAGGCTTGTTCCCATGCTACCACATGCAGGAGGCAACTAATCAATGTGCCTCTTTCACACTGATGTTTCTCTCTCTCTCTCTGTCGCTCCCCCTCCCTTCCACTTTCTCTAAAAGACCAACGGAAAAATATACTTGGGTGAGGCTTAACAAAAAAATAAATAAAATCCACTGATTAACACCCTTCATTCCATCTACAACCTCAATTCCACTTTGCCATATAAATGAACACAGTCACACGTTCCAGGGATTTACACACAGATGTCTTGGGGTTGGAGGTGACCATCAATTCCATCTACCACAAATTCTATTGAAATCTCACATACATCCTTAACGTACACCTTCAACTTCCACCTTGACTTTGCACATATAACCAAGGAAGTCTGACTTAACAACTTCTTTATTAGTTAGAGACTGATCCTTAAAAAAAAATGTACACCCCTAGCTGGGTTTGCTCAGTGGTTAGAGTGTTGGCCCTCCAACTGAAGGGTCATGGGTTTGATTCTGGTCAAGGGTACATACCTCGGTTGCCGGCTCCATCCCCAGCCCTGGTCTGGGAGGGTGCTAGAGGCAACCAATTGGTGTGTCTCTCATGTTCATGTTCTTCTGTTTCTCTCTCCCTTTCTTCCATACTCTCTAAAAATCAATGGAAAAAATATCAAGTGAGGCTTAACAAAAAAAAGTACATTTTCTAATATTCTCATAAGTAATAAAGATCTTGTATCAGATAGAACATGACTATAATTTTAAGATTAACTTTGTTGGCAACACACAACAAACTTTAAATGTTAGACCAGCAGTTCCCATTAATTGCTAAAATTTCAAAAAGTACTTGGGGACTGAAATTGGGCCTTCAGGTATTTGTTTTCCAAATAAAAACATGCAATACATTAATCTGCTCTCCAAAATCTCTCATCTATGCACATCATTATTTCATAAAAGAACATTTAACACCAAGAAAGGTAGAAAAGAATCTCAGATTGTGCACATCTTCAAATCATCTTAGCTTAATAAAAAATACATGATCATTATTTTTCTCACCTTGCTGATCTTTGACCAGTTTTTTTAAAAACCATTTTTTAAAATCGATTTACCTGTAGCAGCTGAATCACTGTCCATCTGTGTCAAGGACTGGGGGCGGCTTCGAAGTTTGCTTCTTAAAGATCTTGGTCGACGCGACGGGGATGCGGATGGCAGAGAAACCACAGATGACTGATGCTTGCTATCTTTAATTGCCCGGAGGCGATCATAGAGATCCTGAAGCTCCTTATTCTGCTGTGTTTGAAGATTTATTACCTCCTGAATATGTCTACATAAAAATGAGGCAGAAAGCGTTTTAATGGTGCTGGTTCAATACAGATGAGCTAAAAAATGCCACACCAGTACAAGTAAAGTTTAACAAGGAATTTAGATGAAGAATGTGGATATACAGAATGTTTTCACAATTTTAAAATGGGAAATGTCTTTTTTTTAAAAAATAATTTTATTGATTTTTTACAGAGAGGAAGGGAGAGGGATAGAGAGTTAGAAACATCGATGAGAGAGAAGCATCAATCAGCTGCCTCCTGCACACCCTCCTCTACTGGGGATGTGCCTGCAACTAAGGTACATGCCCATGACCAGAATCGAACCTGGGACCCTTCAGTCCCCAGGCCGACACTCTATCCAGTGAGCCAAACAAGCTAGGGCAGGGAAATGTCTTCTTAAGCATACCATTAAACTAATCAGACATAAAGAAGAAAGGTCAACAAACTGACAGGAATAAATTTCTAAAACTTCAATATAGTGAAAAACAGCAGCCGAAACCGGTTTGGCTCAGTGGATAGAGTGTCAGCCTGCAGACTGAAAGGTCCCAGGTTCGATTCCGGTCAAGGGCATGTACCTGGGTTGCGGCACGGAGCATTGATAATATCAAATTTTTCTTTATTATATGATGCAGGTATAAACAAGAAAAAAAGTATCTGCATTATATAGAAAAGGTTAATATTTAGAATATGTAAATAATTCTTAAAAATCAGTAAGAAAAAAGAAACTATCTTTTAGAAAAGAGGGAAAGAATATGAAAAGGTGACTCCAAAGAAAAATACAAATAACAAATAAATGAGATGATGCACAACCTCACTTTTAGTCAATACAATTAAAAAAAAAAATGAATTCATCTGATTGGAATAAAACTAAAAGAATCAACAATATCCAGCCCAATGTTGTTAAGAAGTGGGAAAATAGGCACTTTCATATGCTTTTGTTTGGTGTGCAAAACGGTATAGGTACATTTGATAACAATAGCAATATCTATGAATTTAAAATGTGCATATCTTTTAACACATCAATTCTTTTAGGTATTGATCCTACAAAAATACTTGCATAACTGTATAAAAAATAAGGATGTTCACTTCAAGCAAAACATGGGATAAAACTGAAATGTCTATTAAGGAGAGATTAAATAAACTTTCAATGGTGATAAGCTATTTCAGTGTATGGAATAAAGATTATTTGTGCAAACATGAATATACATTAGTGACAAAGTTAAGTAAAAAATTGCAGCATAACGTGTATTATGATAACACTTTTGTCAAAAGCAAAAACTATATATTTGTAAATGAAACAGGTCACAGTGGTTGAGAAGTTATATTAGGGCATGAGAAATAGGAGATGGATTTTTGTAATTTCCGAAGTGATAAGAGCAATGGGAGAATCGTTTGTTATATTATTTGGTCTTGTGTCTTCAAATAGCTCCAGTTCCTAAAATAGCTCCAGAGTAAGACAGATGAAAGGAGTGTCTTGTTATTCATAATGAGAAATGATGCACAACCTCACACTGGTGTCTAGGTCAATCAAGTGACTTCTGTAAAAATCCCAAGGGAACCAGCCAAGTGATTATAGGATGAGAATTTTCAGCTCCCCCCCGGCCCTCCACCTCTAGTGAGGGGTGCGGCTGGAGATTAATCACCTATGGTGAATGATTTTCTCAGTCACACCTATCTAGATGAAGATCCCATAAAAATTCCTGTATTACAAGGTTCGGAGAGTTTCCAGGATGGTCGGAGAGTGGCACTCATGGGAGTGCATGAAGTTCCATGTTCCGAACCCCATACCTTGCCATTTGGCTGTTCTTGAGTTGCATCCTTTGGTGGGAACCTCCAATTTATAACAGGCTAGTCAGAAGCATAGGTAATACCACCTGGACTTGAGATTGGCATCTGGGGCGGGGTTGGGGGGGGAAGTCTTGTAGGACTGAGTTCATAACTAGTGGGATCTGATGCTGTCTTTGTAGTTTTCAATCATTACAAGTTCATCAGTCCTGCCCAGCCGGCATGGCTCACTGGTTGAGCGTCGACCTATGAACTAGGAATTCACGGTTCAATTCCTAGTCAGGGCACATGCCCAGATTGTGGGCTCAGTCCCCAGTGTGGGGCGTGCAGGAGGCAGCAGATCCATGTCCCACTCTCATATCGATGTCTTTCTCACCCCCCCCACCCTTTCCTTTCTGAAATCAATAAAAATAAATTTATTTTAAAATGCCACCAGTCCTAAATTAGTTAGCAACCTAACAGTTCTATAAAACCCAGGGCACCCCTAGCTGGTTTGGCTCAGTGGATACAGTGGCAGCCTGCAGACTGAAAGGTCCTGGGTTTGATTTCAGTCAGGGGCACATGCCTGGGTTACCGGCTCAATCCCCAGTAGGAGGCGTGCAGGAGGCAGCTGATCTATGATTCTCTCATCATTGATGTTTCTCTCTCTCTCTCCCGCTCTCTTCCTCTCTGAAATCAATAAAAATACATTAAACAAACAAACAAACCAAACCCAGGGCAACTAGCTAGGTGAAAAAAGAGAAACAGTTCTTACCTTTCTCGTAATTTTTGAAGCTCCACCTTCAAGTCCTCATCCTCTATTTCGGATTCGTCATCACTGCTCATTGGGGAAGATGGTGAATAGAAGACGGAGTTCTCTGTCTGAGCACAGGCCTTTTCTGCTTGGAGTGGTAAGCACTGATCGCTCTCTAGATGACTCTCTGCCACAGAGTTCCCTGTGTCAGTAAGAGTGGCTGAAAATTCACCATCAGAGCAAAGCTGTTTCTCAACAGTAAATCTCTCTCTCCCTTTGAGCGGCAGTTCAGAGCCAGACTGCATGCTATTTCCTGTAGCTGAGTTTTCTTCCAATTCCTTTTCCGGGGTTATAGAAGACCCATCAGTCTCACCAGCTGTGCTGACAGATGAGCTGTCTCCTGGTTTAGGAATTGGTTTAACTTCCTGAAAGGTTTCATGAAGAGCTTCTAGGTTCTGAGGAGGAAATACAGTCTCTGGACTGTGCATGGCAGGTTCTAGTTCTACTACCTGAGCCTTTGCTGTTTCAGTGAAGGCTGGAGCTTCTTCGCTAGAATGGCTTGGCATGTTATTGAAGGCTGACCCGTGTTGTAATCCAGTGCATGTCACTTTCTCGGCCTGCTGCTGAGGGATTGTAATCACCTGAGACACAAAAAGGCAAAAGTGGCTGGCTCCACCTAACTAAAGGGCAAACCCACAGAGAAATTCAGGATCAACGTGTGACACAGACAAGTGGCCGTTCTGCTTGTGATGTACATACATTGATAATACCAAAGCTTTAAAATCCCATGCATCTCCCCACATTGCAAGTCTTTCTTTTTAATTTTGTTATTTGTTGATTTTAAAGAGACAAAGGGGGGAGGGGAGAGGGACTGACGGAGAGAGGGGGGAGGGAAAAAGGAAGGGAGAGAGAGAGAAACATTGTTTCACTTATTCATGCATCCATTGGTTGATTCTTGTGGGTGCTCTGACAGATTTACCCTACAACCCTGGCGTATAGGGACGAGGCTCTAACCAACTGAATTACCCCACCAAAGCTTCAAAGGCTTTCAAATGGTCCCCTTGGGTAAAGAACTTTGGCATTGATTGCTCAAATAAAATTCCACAATTTAAAAAGAGTCCATAATTAAAGATGCCAAGATTCTAAAACACATGAAATGCGAATTATAAAAACAGGTGACCCAACCTCCCACCACAAAATAATGAACCCTTTCTGTGTTCTCTTCCAGCTACTAAAATCCATTTTTTTAAAGGATGCCATTCATTCATTCACTCATTCATTTTCCATCACTATTTATCCCCCTATATAAATCCCCATTTCTTTAGACACCTTTACTGGATGGCTTCAAAAGATTAAGGGATGCAAATTAAATATGACAATGATCTACACCAGCGGTTCTCAACCTGAGGGTCGAGACCCCTTTGGGGGTCGAACGACCCTTTCACAGGGGTCGCCTAAGACCATCAGAAAACATATATAATTACATATTATTTTTGTGCTTAATC